CTTGCGCTGATTAGTGGATATCTATGCAAATATATTATTTGAAAAAAAAAATCCTTTTATTTTTGCTTTTAATGTCTTCAAAAGATCACTGATGCAGGTTAACAGCCTCTGCTTGTTAACAAAATTTACTCAATTACTGTATCCACCTTTCATTTTAGGTTGTAATTTATGTTGGTGCCAACAGAGTGATATCAGTGTCCTCAAATTCAGTAGAACCAAAATGAAATCACTGGGCTCTACATATTATCTGCTATTGGCTATTAGTAGAAAGTAATCAGATTTTAGAGCTAAATAAAATCCCTGATCACTTAGTGTGTAACCCTAGACAAGCTACACAACTTTTATTGATCTGTGAAATGGAAATAATACCTATTTATTGACAGGGTGGCTACAGAATTAAATGAGCCACTATATATAAAATACTTAGCATGCCTGGTATATAATAGACAATCAACAAGTTTCCTTTCCTTGGCACTCTTGACCTTTTTCATTGAATGACAGGCTAAAGGAGAATGAAAGTCCCAGGGTTTGCTCCAGGTAAAAGAAGCCTTCCCAAGAAATTCAGGTTCTGCTTCCTGCCCATGAGTGATGCTCCAACACTTGAAAGTGGGCCTCCAACCAGAGCAGCTACTGGGGCCCTCTCTGGGTTTCTTTGTTTATTGTAGTCATTATTTTAATGGAAAATATTTGAGCAAATTTAACTCTGCAATCCCAGCTACTGCTTTTTCTTTTGTTACCATGCATTTTCACCAGCAAAGAACTAATTTAGTGTTTCGTGGTTTTTTTGGTTTTTTTTGGCAGAGGTGTTGCGGAGTTTTGCTGTGTCACCCAGGCTGGAGTGCACTGGTGTGATCTCAGTTCACTGCAGCCCCTGTCTTCCAGATTGAAGCAATTTTTGTGCCTCAGCCTCCTGAATAGCTGGGATTACAGGTGCACAACAGCACACCCAATTAATTTTTGTATTTTTGGTAGAGATGGGGTTTCACCATGTTGGCCAGGCTGTTCTCGAACTCCTGGCCTCAAGTGACCCATCCACCTCAGCCTCCCAAAGTGCTGGAATTACAGGCGTGAGCCACTGTGCGCAGCCTGTTTTGTTTTAAATAGGAGGTCACTGGGGACTTTATGCCAGAGAGGTATCTGACCTGAATTACTGGCCGGTTATGTTAAGGAGGCAAAAAATTAACAGGTAACCTACGGATTTTAGATGTTTGGCCAACAACCTCAATATATGAGCAGACAAAATGACATTATGGGAAGAACAGAGAATCAGCTATCCCTCCAGGTATTTTTATTTGGTTCAAGCTTAACCTCTAAGTGAACAATGAAGCTTCCTGAAGTAGACAGAGCATGTGCCTCACACTTGCTGTGGGATCTTAGGAAGCAACTTTGCAGGCCTTTGTTTCTTCACCCAAGAAACCATGGGATTAGAGTAGATGATCAAACTATGTGATGACCAAAAGGACTTAAGATCATCTAGTGTAATGTTCTCACTTGACAGGTGAGAAGTGAGGCCAAGAACAATTCAGTGGCTTTCTTGATGTCACAGTCCTTACAGCCAACAGACTTGGGACTGGCATCCAAGGTTTACAGGCAATAAAGATCCTCTTTCCACAAAGCCTTAGCTGTCTCTAAAATGTCTTGATTCTGATGGTAAAGAGGAAGGAGCACAATATGCATTTCTATTCACGTTAATTTAAAATGATTTGACAGGTCAAATATTTATTTCCTAATTTCCAAGCTAACTTTCTTGCTAAGGGAGGACTTGCAACTGTCTTGAACAAGGGCCCATTCCTAGGTCATCATTCTCCAGACCTGAAAAAGCAATGTAAGTGCTTTTCACCTGATATATTCAAAACAGAGCAGGATGAATTTTATCAGTGATGTCCCTTGCAAGTGCCAGGTACCCAACAGAAAATGACAGACTTCTGTGCTCTTTAACCTATCAGTGATAGAGTTACTGTTATACTATGTGCCAACCAAGTTTCAGACCCAAGGAAGGTGTGGGGCAAAACTACTGACAAGGCTAAATCTTTATCCATCCACCTGATATTTCTTAATTCTTCCTCTCTAGGGAACAGATAAGTTCTTTAAGGTTCACAGGTCTGATTCACCACAGAGTGATTATATTCAAGAACCCTGATTTGCCCAAAGCAAGATACCCACCTAGGTGAACAGGAAGTAAAGTTTCTCACAGCCCAGCCACTCTAGAAATCTGGAGCAAGGGGCAAAGGAAATGTTTCTTATTCAAATTAACATAAATCAACAACATTGACCTTGATATACATGATCTTAATTAAGAACTAAACTGGAATTTAAACATTTGAATGCTGCACTAAGGTATCCTAGAAATTAAGGCCAAATGTGGAAATTGAAACAATGAGAAAGATAAAGGGGGCCTATAACCAGGAAATACACTGACGTAATGGAAATGAGCCAGCCTGGAGTGGAGGACAAGGGGAGCCTGAGGGAGGCAGACTGTCAAGGTTGGCATGACTTTATCTGTTGGGGAGACAATGAGGGGTGTATTTAGGAACAAGGGTGGAGATAGTGTGGTCTACCAGACAGATAACTCCTTGCCAGGCAGGTTCTAATATAGCCTGAATGGAAACTTCCTTTTAAGAACGTCAACTCTTTGTCTGTGGTTCCACACTTACAAAACGAGATTCTCTTCCCATCAAACTTCTCACACAGGTCTTCCAATCTGAGACATGTGGGAGTGAAGGAAAAGGTTAGAGAAAGCAGTCCTTTCTGTGCTGTCCAACATGGCAGCCACTCCACAGGTGGTTACTGAGTACTTAAAACGTGGCTAGCCGTGAATAAGAAACTGAATTTTATTTTAAATTTTATTTAATTTTAATTAAAGTTAAATTTAAATTTACAAATGGACACTGATTCATTTACTGGACAAAACAACTGATATGCATGTTTGGAATGACTTGGGTATGTGAATCTACTTTCTCTACTGTAAGTTTTAATCTAAGTACAGATCGAGTATTGTCCATGAAATTTCAGTGTCCCAATTGAGATACGCTGTTAAGTGTAAAATATGCTTACAGCACATCTCAATAGGACTTTCAAGACTTTGTGTTTTAAAAATGCAAAATATCTCATTAATAGTTATATTAATTACAGTCAATCCTCCATATCCATGGTTCTACATATGCAACCAACTGTCCAGTAAGAATATTTTTAAATAAATAAAAAATACAACAAAAAATACAGATAATACAGCACAACAATTATTTACATAGCATTTACATTGTATTAAGTATTTTAAGTAATCTAAAGATGATTTAAAATACATGGGAGGGTGTGTACGGGTTATATACAAATACTTCATTTTATATAAGGGACTTGGGCATCCATAGATTTCGGTATCTGTGGGGAGTCCTGGAACCAGTCCTCCATGGACACCAAGGGACAACTGTACATGTTGAAATAATATCTTGAATATATTAAGCAACGCAAAAATATATTGTTAAAATTAATTTCATATTTCCTTTTATTTTTAATGTGGCTACTAGCAAATTTAAAATTACATATAAAGCTCATACTTGAGGTTTATATTACATTTTCACTGGACAATGCTACTCTAGATTCTGGAAGGTCTAGATAAGACCACCTTTTTTGTGTTTTTGTTTTTTTTCTTGAGACAAAGTCTCACTCTGTCACCCAGGCTGGAGTGCAGTGGCACTATCTCGGCTCACTGCAACCTCCGCCTCCCAAGTTCAAGTGATTCTCCTGCCTCAGCCTCCCAAGTAGCTGGGACTACAGGCGCATGCCACCACACCCGGCTAATTTTTGTATTTTTTTTAGGAGAAACGGGGTTTCACCATATTGGCCCAGCTGGTCTTGAACTCCTGATCTCATGATCCACCTGCCTTGGCCTCCCAAAGTGCTGCGATTACAGGCATGAGCCACTGTGCCCGGCCAGAACACCACTTTTTTTTTTTTTTCCTTTTTCTTAGAAAAGATTGTAGTAGTATATTCTTGGGCTTCTTTGTCAAAATCACACTAGGGTTCACCATGTGAAGAGCCCAAGGATAGTCTTTCTTATTAGATTATACTCTCTCAGTAAATTAAAATTAGACATTTGGTTTTAAAATTTGCCTCAGATTATTTAATTGATGTCAGTCAGCCAGCATGTGGTCAATTGTAAAGTAAAAACGACATCGGAGTTCCAGATCAAAGGAACTGATAGAGGGAAACAGCCCTGAAACAAAACAGTGACTATAATTCAAATATTTGACACTAAATATCAAATCCCTTTAGTCTTCTTTTACATGACCACAAAAAGAAACCACATAAAAAGGAAAGAAACAGCAATATATAATCCCAACATATACATTCTGAAGAAGATACTATTTTAAATACCCTCTGAACATGAATCAAATATACGGCAAATGATAAATTTATATACACACTTCATATGCACAAGTAAAACTTTATCCGTTAAAGAAAGGTTCCTTAAGATTGTGATCTAAAAGAAAACCTTTGTTCTAAACCATATTGACTGACTGATAATTAAGCCTGTCGTTATCATAGCATGTACCCTATAATCTGATACCACCCCCACCCACCCCCAAAATTGTATTCAAATGAGAACAGCATCCATGCTCACACCATTTAAATGAGATAGGGGATAGCTACATCCCCTCTCATTTTCGGAGCTCGGTAATCAATTAATCAGAGAGGTTAAATAGCACATTCAAGGTTCAACGTTTGCTAAAAGTCACTTATTTCCATTCAGACCCTCAGCTGTCATTCTGGAAGCTGCCACCAGATGCACAGGGTGCTTGTTAATGCAGCAGTAAGCCCACATCAGAGGGACTCTTCAAGGTCCAAGGTTTCACACAATTTGATCAACTGTGCTTTTTTCCCCTATAAATCAGAACTTGATAAATATAGCACTATAATTCATGAACAAATATTTAATTACTACCTTTAAGAGCTAAAAGACATACTCTGACATAATATTTACATAAATACAAAATACCTACCTTCAAATTAAGTATCTTTTCCCACTAAATTGCCCTATTTTAAATCTCCATCTAATTCATTTCAGAGTCTAGTTGGAATTCTCCCTGAGTTAATTCGGGATTGTAAATTATCCAACAAGTCTCAGATCTTCAGAGTAGCATAAGAGCTCCCCACATAATTGTCCTGAGTTAATCTGCTCTTTCTTTTCCCCACATGTTTAGCTTCACATGGCATCTAGGGTCTCATCTGCTCCTGCCTCTGCACGGCTTGCCTCCGCTCTACTGCCCACTCTGGGTTCCCATTCCCAAGCAGAAAGAACCGTAGATGCTGCCGTCTTGCTCTCCCCACTCTGTGGTCTTGTTCCAATCAGGGAAACATTCCTATGGCAACCAACACACACCACCATCTCACTCCCCTTCCCTGAAAGTTCCCTATTTGCCTGGCAGACGTTTGGCAAGGACACTGAATTACTTTAACTTGCCTAGCAACTACTAGCCTGTTCCAGTCCCTCTAAAAGCGGTTGGCTTTTTGTCGCTTATCTTTTAAAACACACTCAGGGGCTGGCTGGCTGGCTGGCTGGCCGTGGAAAGGGCAGCTGCCAAGTCAGCCTCATTGGACACTGGCCTGGAACACACACAGCAGTTGGGCAAACTGAAGCCTCTTCTTGCCCCAGGATGAAAAAATGTCCACAGGCTTGAGGCAATGGCACGAGTAGACAGCTCTCAGGGTCCCACCCTGGGCTAACTCCAGAGGAATTTTAATTCTCAGAGAACCTCAAAGCTCCTTCTTCAGCTATAAGAAAAGTAAAATTATCAATAGCTGCCTCCACTCAGAAAACCAGGTTTATCTCATTTTGCCATGTACTTCAACCCTTCTGGTTTTTATTTAACAGGCTGGAAACCAGATATTTTAACTTACAGATTGTAGTTTATTCATTTAGGTTATTTTGGTATCAGGAACCAACACGGTCCCAAATGACTGATGCTGCTTTCCATATTTTTTCCCCTCAGTGAATTCTAAAGAAATACTTGAAGTGTCTATAATCTAATCTGGGTACCCTAAGATGAAATACTTCTTCTAATAATCCATATAGGTGGAGAAGCTTGAACAATGAATAAATAGTTTATTGAGCTCTTGGCTTGCTCTGCTGATGGATTCCATGCTTGCGTTGTGTCCTTTCAGAACAGAAGCCAACAGCAGGTGCTTTCTCCCAAAAACAACCAGTGAGATACTCAAGTCAGGTCCTGGAGAAAAACTAAAGCTACTTGATAGGCATTTCTACTCCTACCTGCCACCAACTGTCTTCCAAAATGAAAGCAAGGCCACTGTTGCAGAAGCAGAGAGTTGCCAATTTAGGCCAGCAACAGACCTGAAAGTTGACATGGGTGGACACTATCTTTTATTAGACAACTATTTCCTGCTGGTAGGACGCAAAAGACCCATTTTTCTATCTTTGCAACCTTTGAATTTCTTCCAAAAAGAGGCTTCTTATTCACTTCCATGGCCCTTCGAGAACAAGGACAATTTTTGATTGCCATTTCCTATTTCAGTGATGACACACAGTAAGTGCTCAGTAAGCATTTGCTGAAATGAACCTTAAATACAGCAGCAATAGAATGTCAATTAAAATAAGATACTATTTTCACTGATTATATTTACAAACTAAAATTTTTGTCATATTCAGTGTTGACAAGGGTGTGGAGAAACACGACATTCTTCTACACTGTTGATGGAAGTATAAATTAGGGCAGCCATTTTGGAGGACAATTTGCCAATATTTAGTGATGCTAAAAATGGACACCCTCTTTTACCAGTAATTCCCTGGCTTTGTATCCTACAAATATATTGACAAAAATGCAAAAAGATATATACAAGAATGTTTATTGCAGCATTGTTTGCAACAAGATAAAACTGGAAAAATCTAAATGTTGATAAACAGTAGGCAAGCTAAATTATGGCAAACTGATGCAATGGAATACAATATAGCCATTAAAAATGAAATGGATTTATACATACTGATGTGAACAGATGTCTAAGATATATCACTAACCTATCCACAACAGAATCCATATATTTATCCATACATACACATATAAGCATAGATGTGTGTTATATGTGTATAGGTATTTATGTATATGTGTATGTGTGATTGTATACAAACAGAACATTAGGTCATTTCTGGTAGAATTTGCAGAGATTTAACAGTGGTTACCTTTAAGGAATGATATTTAGGACTGAAACAATAGGAAGGAAGACTTTTATTTCTACTGTATAGCATCTTAAAATGTTGACCAATTTTTAAAACAAGGAATGTTCGTATTTTAAAAACTCGTATTTTAAAAACATGTTAACAATTCATAATTGCCTTTGTATTATTAGATTTAAAAAAAAAAAAGACAGCAGGTTATTTTTACCATTCAGGTATCCCTGCGTAACTAGTACAGGGGTCTTTAAAACCATCCACAGCTCTAGCAGAAAGCAAGAAACTACAGACATGAAAACAGCAGGTCCCATAAATTGTTTATGAAGTTTATACTTTTAATGTGTTAGACATTAGTACCTCAAAAACTTAATTAAAAATTAGAAATCACATTAGGGCTACGTAAATTAAGATTAAAAATTGTACAAATCCAAATACACATTGAATTATACAATAAGCCAAAAAATGTATTCCTAATGCTTGAGTCATCTTTTTTTTTGGAGGTAGAGTGAAAAGAGAAGTAACTCCTGCTGCTAAATTAGAAACCACAAGCCCCAGAAGCACTGTACATATATAACAAGAGTTAAAAACCTGGATCCAAAAATTCTAATTGATGTTTACTCAAAGAAAAGTACAGAAAGCTGCAAATGTGTCTTTTCAGGGGCTGATCTGACCTACAGAGAGGAACAACCCAAGAGAAACGTCTCTTCCTCACTGGCAACTCAATAACAAGAATATGGAAACCATGGTATAAATTTTTTTTCAGCTTACAAAGGTTATAAAGAACGCTCCATTAAAAAAATAGAGCATTGCCCTTCATTTCCACATTATCCCCAGCTTCCCAAATATTCCTCCTACTTTTTTCTTACAAACTCAAGAGAAAAAAATTCCCTTGGTACTCATTATAAAACCCCAGAATGCTGTTGACATTGCCATTTTAACTGTCTATTGTTCTCCTAACTCCAGGAAATCGCTGAAAGCCAGACATAATGACTGTTGTGACGGTTTTCAGTAACAAGAAGTGAAGTTTCCTGTCAAAAGAAGTGCTCTCTCCATTTTCATCATATGTAAAACAAGATGCTTCCATGAGCACCTTCACAAATAGATGAGCTTCTTTGAGACCCTGAAAATGTACTAAAAGGATGAAAGAACAAATCAAAATGACAGATAAATTTGTGGGAGTTTTTCCCTTTTAGCTATAGCAAACTGTGATTTATTTCCCAATTAGTACTGATTCTTTTGTGAGAGACCTGACTTTTTGCTCTAGAGATGTCAAGACCATATTCTAGATATAAATTCAACACAGGAGCAAAAAATAAATTAGGAGTTGGTGTTTATTTGGAATACCCTAGATCCTAGACTACATGGACTGGCTATGAAGCATGTTCTATTATAACACTCCTCCATTAACTGTTTCAGTCCCCATAATTCCAAATCTCCCATTCAGTTTAAGAGGTCCGCATCTTTAGTACAGATCTACTGGCCAGACCAGCAAAAGAAAGGCAGCTTGTTTCTGAGGCAAGAGGCCAAGACCAGGATTCAGAAGTCCTGGGTTCAAGTGCTTATACAGTCCTTAACCTGCAGAGCTGCTGAAAGCAGAGACTCACCTTCATCGGTCTCACTTCTTCCATGTGAGCAAATAGGGAGGGATGTATCAGATCAAATGAGATCATATATCAATATAGTTCACAAATATGGAATGGCAAAAAGGCCTTACCATTAACAAGAGCAAGAGTTTGCTTTTTGAAATTGTGTTACACAAATATATCCTTGTGTGACTCCGTTTTCTTACCTGTAAAATGGGAATAATAAAAATACTCATTTCATAGATGCTCTTAGATGCATGCATCCATGCTTTTTATCGTTTGCTCTATCTATGCTAGGCACTCTTCTAAGAGCTCTATGCTAGGCACTCTTCTAACAGCTAACATATGCTAAACATATGTAATATAAATAATAAAATGTAACATGTATATGTAACATAAATAATAAAAATATTAGCTGTTACCTTTGGTACAAAGCTACTCTATTTACTTAGAAGTGTAGATCCCTAGTACTGCAGATATTCAAAATGTGACAGAAGTACATCAAAGTGAAAAATTAGACACAAACATAAAGAGGGATGAGCTATGCCCAGAGCATCTGCTTTGTTGTAACTAGTGGTCTAGTTAGGCATAAAGCAATAACCATAGGAGGATGACTGGGAAAGGATTTGAACCAGGCACATAGCAACTCAAAGTATAGTAAGAGGCAAAGACTGTAGAATGTATCAATCTCAGTTTTAAAGATTAAGTGGCTTGAACACTAAATGTGAGATGTACAGAGGCATAGACTTCCTCTGACCTTTAGGTCTAGTTGGTCCATAAGTGTCCCTCAAAATATTTGAAAAATGAGTGGATGGATGGGTTGAACACACCGCTTTCAATACGATCTTCTTGCAGAGTTCCTATTATAATACAGACTGCTTGATATTAAAAGTTGTCTACATGAAAGACAAAGGAAAACCCAAAAGATGTGCACTCATGCCTTAATTCATTAAATACTTAGTATTCACTATATCTGAAGCATGGTATAGAAGTTGTTTTATGAATAAGGTCTAGTTTATGCAATCACAGAAATCTAAGAAGAAGTTGGCCTCTATCTTGGGCTGGGAACTAGTCATAGTGGAAATAACTAATTACATTCCTTCCCAGTTGGTTTCTTACAGGCAGCTCTTCTCTAAGTTCAAGCCTTAGTGATGCCATTTATGTGTCAGGACACTTTAATCTTAAGAAACTAAAGGAAAATGGAAAATCTTTTTCAAAAGGATGTAATTGTACCAGATGATATGCAAGGGATTTGGGGGCATGTAATTAATTACAATAATGCCTTACAACAAATTTATACCGATGGAAGGAAGATGTGTGACAATATTGAATTATATGGGTGAGTTTTTAAAAATGGAGTTTTATTAGAGTTCAAATTAAATGCTAATAAAACATCACCAAGAAGAAATCCTCCTAGGACTGCTTTAATGACTAGGATCACTCATAATCAGTAGATAGTTAAGATGCAAATAGATGCAAGTAAGGCATTCGAAAATGGCCCTTCCTCTCAAGCAGGCTAAATGTGTCCTAGCAAACGTATTTATACTATTCATTTGCTCTGTGGGTCCTTTCTTCATAGATAAAACAAAGTAAACTTCAGACTTACCCTGGAGAAATTATTAAGAACCCTGAATTAATGTGGTACAAATGAACGGCATTATTGAAGAGAGAATCAGGGTTCTGTCAGATGGCTGCAGCCAACTACATCTGGATTTATTTTTAAATGAGTGTTTATACTCCATTGTTCATCCAAGTTCTCACAAGAGGCTCTGTCTTTGCATACAGAGCAAGAAAAAAACTGCTGAATGAAGTCAGTGTGCTGAATGGAACCAGAGAGTGGGTGGAGGGGAGTGTCTACTCTTTTTTTCCCTCTTTTTTTTTTTTTTTTTAAGCTATTATTTTTCTTTCTCCTCCTTTCTGGTATTCTTTGATACACTCTGACAGCTTGTTCAAACTGAGGAGCCTAAGAAAGATCCACCTGACAACCTAGACTCAGGAAAAGCACATGTGAAAATGCCATATCCAGCCAGTGTACGATCAGGCCTCGGAGAATGGAGATAGTGTGTTTCCAAAGTACTTCAGAGGCTGCAAAAAATGTTAAACATTACCTCATTTGATACAACCACCTGTGGCCTAGGAAAGGCAGGTGTCTTCATTTTACAGGTAAGAGAGGTTAATGATGTGATCAAGTCCGCACTATTAGAAAAAGAGCCCAGCATCAAGACCAACCTTCTTACTATTGGTCTGTGGTGATGTCCCCACACTACACTTCCTAAGTAAATAATCTTATGTCTTTTTACACACCCCCTACAGTAAACTGAAACCCCCTGGCATCTGATTCACTTATGTCTGCATGAAGCAGAGCCCCGGGTAGGAGAACCACCAGTGGTTCAGCCCTCAGCCTCACTGTGATTTCACAAAGGACTTAGTAGCTTCCGGGACAGTGATTTTTCAGGTGTTAAGTGCAGTTTTAAATACATCTGCTTCTCTACTAGGGAAAAACACAACCTGGTAGCAATATCCAAGGCAAATCACCTGTACTCAATTTTTATTTCTTAGTAAATTTGAGATGTTCACTGGGGGCAGGTGTGGCTAGGCTCGTAAGGATAAATGAGAGGCAAATGAAGAGTATTTTGCAAACACAAAACTTAAGACAAATGCTTAAACTACCTTGAAAACTTTGGGTGTTATATTTCCTTTCTTCTTGGAAAGAATAATTCCATAAGTAATACATTAACATGAAGGAGATTATTTTTTCAATGAACACATGGCAAAAATCTGACAAGACTATTAATATCAGTTTAGGTTTGGGGAAATCTCAGGATTGGAAAATCTTAAGATGATTTTAAGACTATTACCACTGAGTAGCTTCCACACCTGGATGGGCATAAAAATCCCAAAGAAGGGCCCCAGAAACCAGACAACCTAAAGTAATTACTCTGCCAGTACCCAGAAATCACAGAACCTAGAGTTAGTACTCTACCAGCTCCTAGAAATCAGAGAATCTAGAGTTAGTACTCTACCAACTCCCCAAAACCAGACAACCTAATAGAATGAGTACTCAGAAGCCTGTTAAGTCCATGCTGTTCCTCCCCCAAAAAGGCCTCATAATAGATTCTAAAGAAGGACAGTTTCCCCTCTCTGGCCACCTACAGAACTTTGTGGATTGGAGAGTTGCAAACCTTACCCATTTGCTGATTACTCCAAAAAGCAATTGGAACTGTTCAAGAGAAACAGCAGCCAACAACGGGGGCTTCACGGAGATTTTGAGAATAGTGACTGACACCTCTGATTTTTTTTCCAAACCTGATGCACCCAATCCAACCCCAAAAATCTTCATTTAACATTTATTATGTGCACAACATTGGTGGCTCCTGTCTTTTTACTTTGTATTTAGAGTAAAACATGACAACTTTGCCACAAGCAAACAGAGACACACACCTCACACCTTAGCAGTAGAAGTGAACCTGTTGAGAAGGCTATCATGAGGAAAAACCTGCAGGGTCAGCAGTGATTACCATGGCAACAACAGCCAATGGCACTCTAATTTTCAGCTCCTAATGCAACGATCTGAGGTCTGACTCTCCCTTGGGAGGTTTCAGTTGACTTTTATAAGAAGCCTAGATAAACTTGCTGTCTTCCATTGGGCAGTTCTGGCAGAAAGGAATGCACTCTTTATTAAGGGTTGTTCACAGTCCAGATACAAAACAGAGAATAAAGATTCTGAACTCTATTACTCACTGATTGACTTGCTTTTGAGCAAGCAGTCATCAGAAACTGTTCAGCTTTAGCCTATTAAAAGCCACTATGTCACTCACATGGGATGGTTTCCTGGTACATTAGATCGAGTTTCAACCTCACTTGTTCCGTTGAGGACTAATATTTGTTAGATGCTGTATTCTATTTTTAGAGTAAACTATCAGCCTATGAAATAGTCTGAATACACGAAAACGATTTCAGTATACCAAGTCAAAACGTGTACTGTTTGAATTAAATGCAGATAAATCAGGCCAGGTGTGGCAGCTCATACCTGTAATCCCAGCACTTTGGAAGGCTGAGGTGGGTGGATCACCTGAGGCTGGAGTTGGAGACCAGCCTAGTCAACATGGTGAAACCCTGTCTCTACTAAAAATACAAAAATTAGCCAGGTGTGGTGGTGCATACCTGTAGTCTCAGCTACTCAGGAGACTGAGGCAGGAGAATCGCTTGAACTCAGGAGGTTGCAGTGAGCAGAGATTGCACCATTGCGCTCCAGCCTGGGTGACAAGAGTGAGACTCTGTCTCAAAAAATAAACAAATAAATAACTGCAGATAAATCAAAATACAGATACATTTTCCTTTGAATGCACTGGTGCACTGGTATCTCATATAGCTGATAACAAGAGTACTTAGCAAAATATGTTTTGGATTATGCTAAAGCCAAGTCAATTTATAACTTGACAGGATTTGATGAACTGATATTTGCCTTGAGGGGAGAGTGTCTTCGAAGTTGAAGGCATCTTACAGATGACTTAGCCCATCTTCATAGCCAGGATACAAAAAAAGCATATGTAATATGCCTCCTCCATTTTATTCATTTATTTATGTAAATAAATACAAGAAGTCTTCAAAAAGTTCATGAAAAATGAATATTAAGAAAAACCTATACATGGATTTCAAATTCTTTTTTGCACCAAAATAAACTCATACTAAGTTGTTATAACATATCTAAACAGGATCTAGTTTAAGGCACTAAGAAGTATAAGACATCAGTTTGCAAAGTGCCCCTATCCAAGCAACAAGAATTCTGCTAAAATTGAAGCACAAACATCAAATTTACTGTGATTCTTGGGTGGAAGAATGCTGAAATTATTGATGCTTCACAAAATGTTTACGAAGGCAATGTCCCAAAGAAATCAGCAATTTACAAATGGATAACTCGTTTTAAGAAGAGATGAGATGATGTTGAAGATGAAGCCCACAGAGGCAGACCATCTATTTACATTTCTCTCATTACTAAAGACTTGGAGTATCTTTTCCAGTGTTTGATGGCCTGTGAAGTTTCCTCCTATGTAAACTGCCTGTTAAAATTCTTTGCTCAAGTTTTCTACTAATAATATGTATTGCTTTAAAAATAACTCCCCACCCCCACTGGAATCAGTTGAATAAGACAGGCAACAAGAAAAACTCACACAGAGAACAGATGGCAATGATTCCATCCTTTGAAAATGGCAGTGACTCTACAGTCAAAAGTGAATTTGAGACCTGCACAATAACAGGGACAGCAATAGCTGATGATGTTATGTGAAATACTTGATATAGTGCCTGCATATAGCAGGTATTCATTAAACACCACTTCCTCTCCCATCTTCAAAGATTATCACAACAAATCTGTGAGAAATAAAAAAACATGTATTATTTTTATTTCTCTTTAATGGATAACAAAACTGCCTGGAGGCATGCCCTTTCTTGCCTCATCAGTGAGAAAGGCATGGCTAACTCAAGTGTTACCGGTTCCTCCCTTTATTTCTACTAGGAGTGTAAGCTTGGAAGTAGACAACCTGGCTTTGCATTCCAGCTCCTCAACTTAGTAGCTGACTAGCTTTATGAAAGTAGTCACCTCTTTGAATCTCAGTTTCCTCCCATCAAATGGGGTAAATAATGATGGTATTTTCCTTTTGGGGTTAAGGATTAAATAGTTCCAAGTAATCCATGAAGAATGATACCAGGCACTTAGTAAGTGCTCAGTGAGTTTTAGCTGCTGCTATTAATATTATTATTAGTCAGCTTATCCTTGGTGTGTGGGAATTGCATTAAATGACACTGTAAACAGTCTTTTATGAATGTCCTCCAATTGTGTGGTTTTTAGAATTCATTTTGAAAGGTTAAAGATTATACAATAGCATATGAACACTTAACATATCTTAAATATTGGATTTAATTCTAAGCATTTTTCATAATCCATATTTTTCCTCAATTTGGCTTAAGAAAAATCTTGAAAGATAAACATTCAAGATTTTCATTATCAAGATTATCATTTGTTCTAGGTCCCAAGGCAGTTCCAGGGTCTTGTTTGTTGATTTCAGGATGTGGCTGCGTGTACTGGACATTTCTCAGCAGACCCTGCATACAGAATGATTGATTCTGGGACTTCCTGGATGTTCTAGTCTTCTTAGGTCCACTTTGGGAAAAAAAGGGAAGCTACTACTTTTCTAGGGCATTTTTCCCAATGTATTCCTTGCATCTCAAGTAACACATCTGAGGACTTCACTGACTAGATAAAACAAAACTATTGGAAAATGGGCCTCCATACAAAGTAGGCTAGCACTTTTGTTTTCTTTGTACAAGGATTATTCTTATTCATATTTCTATCCATGGAAGAGAGGATATCGACCAAAGAAATAAAGCCAACTGGTGGTAACCATGGCCTGAATACAAGCAACCCTCATTTTTCTCAGCTTTAAAAAATAAAATAAAATGAAGGCAGGAGGCAGGGAATCAAATCAAGTAGGTGTGACAAATGCTAGCGTAAAGGAGAGCGGCAGCAACAACAACAACAGGAGGGCTGTCTGCAATCTTAAATAAGTGGTCAAAACTCACCGAATTACAAAAATCAATACTATGGTACTAAAAGAACAGTTGGGAATTCTAGCGTTTATTTTACTGTTCAGTTACATTATGACTCGTCAGCATCTCCTGGCTAGTCATTGTTGCTTCTGCAGGCCTCACCTCACTGTAAGATGAGGTGTAGGATAAAACATACTTTCCTCATTTCCTACTTGCCATAGATTCTAGGGTTTTATAGTTGATACCTAAATCTAGATTCACAACAAAATGTCCTACATGCTTACATTGATGCTATCATACTTACATAAGTGGTGTAATTTATTACTTTACATCATCCCAGCAGTTCTGTTAGTGGTGGCTCATCTAATAGTGGCTCATCTTTTTGCAACCTGAATGAACACATGAGACTCCAGCTGCCCCTCTAATTGGAAGACAAGGATTTCATTTGTCATAAACAGCCAGGTGCTCCCTCCAAGGGCATCATTTTGATTATGCTTTTTCTAGACACGGTTTCCTTGCAAATGTAGGCTCAAAGATATAGAGCTACTTCTTTCTTCATGTGAAAGTAGTAGCTTCCCTTTTTTTCCCCAAAGTGGACCTAAAAAGAGCAGAACATCCAGAAAGCCCCAGAATCAATCATTCTGAATGCAGGATCTGCGGAGAAATGGGTAGTACCTGCAGCCACATCCTGAAAATCAACAAACAAGACCCTGGGAACTGCCTTGGGACCCAGAACCAATGATTATATATATACACTTCATCAAACAATACAGAGCCAGTTCAACAGCTGCCACCTTAGTCAAGGAAAATAATCAGTGAGAAAATGAATAACATCCAGTCGTCAGTGACTCAGCCTCTATTTGGCTCAACTCAAGGGTAGGGGTGGGGTGGGGTAAGGACATGTCATCTTGACAAGGCCATTTTGATACATGGGATATTTTGATTTGGCCTAAAATAATTATTATTTGTGTTGTGGGGCTGGAAGGAAGACTTGACATGTTTATGTTTCTTAATATTATTTAACATTTTATAAGAGATATGATATAAACATGCACAAAAAAGTAATCCTCGTATGGCTGATTGCTCACAGATGACCATCACTATTTAAAAAATGAGAAGGTGGGTGGAGGGTTCCACTCATCCTCTGAGGATTGACTTGTAAATTCAATTCTTCTATAATGCTTATTTTGAAAACACGAATTTGTTTCAACACAACTGATATATCAGGGAACACTTTAAGTATAATGCAAATGTTGGGTTTATGCCTGATTTTTTCCATGAGAAACACTAGATTACTGCAGAAAACCAAAGCAGGTGCACATGCCTCTAACAGCTATCGGATACCTAAGTCACTGAGTGTTATGAGCCACCCATCCATCCATATTGCTGTTAAAACCTTCCTTCCTTACTTCCTTGGGGAACGGGGTAAGGTTCACTGATACATTTTGCCATAATATTTGATAATGTAAAAACAAAAACAAGCAATTTTATATCTTCCCAGAGTCATTTTGTTCCTGGAGGGGTATCTATGACCATCATTCTTTCCTTCTTATTACCATTCCTCCTGCAATCTAGCTCCTTGCCTCCTTATAGCCTTCAACAAGAGATGCCAGAATTTCTTTCTTTTTTGTTTCCCCCACAATGGAAAAAGAACTGTTTTCTTCAGGAAAGAAAAAAAAAAACTGTATTGCTCTTAATGTGGATAAAGCATATAAACTCTCACTGCAGAACATACTTTAAAAGCCCTCAGGGTTTGTTCTTGTTTTCCAACAGATGAATGTGTCAATACAGACCTGCCACCTCTCTCCACACAGAACTAAGTGATGCCCTGATCTCCCTTCTAGAGCATTACTGGGTAGAAGCAAGGTAAGCAAAGCCAGTTTCAACTCCATTTACTGATGACAGTCAAGGGTATGCTGGAACCTAGTACAAGTCCTTAGCTACCACAGAGACATTTTCTTAGACTGTAAGAAATGAAGAACAAGCCAGCTTGTAGGTGGATAAATAATGTGTGTGTGTATGTGTTGACTACACCTGGGGGTCTACATGTATTCTCTGCCCTGTTTCTAACTGCTGAAGGGCAGCCTACAAAGATGCATATTATATGGTATGATAAAATTCATGCAAAATATTAAAAATGAAGCAATGTATGTGTGCATATATATTTATATATGAATACACACACATCTGAGGACTTCACTGGCTAGATAAAACTGTTGGAAAATGGGCCTCCATACAGACATATATATACACACATATATCTATATCTATATTAAAGTCATACTTCACACTCTAATTAAAGAGGCTCATGATGAGAAGAAAGGAAGAAGAAAATCTTCAGTTCAAAAGGAGCCCAAGAGAAAGAGAAGCTTAGGTGAAGGAAAATCACCACTGAAGCCAGAATCCTGGGTTCAAATATCAACTCTGCCATTTACTTCCTGAGCAAGTAATTTAAACTCTGAGTTTCAATTCCTC